CAAAAAATGATGACGCCCGCAATGCATGTGAAGAAGATGATTTTGTACAATATTTTCAAGACGAATGATGATTAAGATATCGATTTCTTAAAAACCGTCTGCTTCATTTATAATGCGATATGTCGTTTTGTTTGGCCCTAGATGGCGCTCGTTATATTTTTGCCATCCACGGTTGGAGCAGAGATGCCTCACACGAAAGTAATATTAGTATCCGTTAGCTGTTTTTGTGAATGAGAACGCTCCTATGAAATGATAGGGGCAACGGTGTTTTGGTATAAAATGATATTGATAAGCATCTTCTTTGTATTGTTATCCAATTTTAAAAGAAAGTATTTTTATAACATTATTGTTTGTTTTGGGGTGGTTTGTTTTTCTTTTTTGTTGTACATGTACCTGAATGAAAAACGATCGCAGCTGTTTTGGGTTTACAAGAAATCAACTGAAGGGAAATGTGAATACCCTATAGGGTAAAATACATCGCATAAAAATCATGGTCGTATTACGTAATACCTCATTGTTATGTTAGCACATTTCAGTAAGTGATGCACAAGGCCATTGAAGTTGATTTAGTTTGATTTTTCGAAAATAGTCAAGATCTTGTTCTTTATTTTTTTTTTTTTTTTTTTAAAGTAATACAGTTGTTTTAGGGTGTACCCCATTTGTTTGGTACTGTATTATAGACAAGATCTTTATTTTTGGTAAAGGGGGGGGGGGCTGGTTAAACTCCACAAGCCCCTCTCTATAACAGCTACTGCCCTGATCTAGAGGTACATGATTGAGCAAAACTACAGTCGGATGTTTGTCAGCAAATTTACAATCTCGCCATCGGAAGGTGATCGGAACCATGGAGGGGATTAGAGATTCGGAAACTGGTATGGTGATAGTGAGGCGGAAGCTCAGTGACATGATAGGCCTAAAGTACTGCTTTATCTAGTTTGCTGGCACGCCCTCTTTTCAGTCGCAGTGCGTAACAGAGTCTGCACTGTGAGAAAAGGCTGGCAGCATGCTCCATAAGCTGTGTACTTTAATAGTAATACGCTGCTCCGAACAAGACAGCTAGATACTGACAGAGCTAGGCTCTGCTCGAGGCTTGAGGAATTGTGGTAAAGTGTCAAACTAGAGTATATGCCTGCCGACTATTAGAAGCTCACAGTGACATGGTAAAGCACTGTTGTATCGGTGTACGCGAATGTGACTGTTTTGTAGGGGAGGGTGATCACCCCTACCACTTTATTCAGAAACCGAACAATTAATAGCAGGAACTTTTGCCGCGTCAGATTTACTTGTCAAAATAAAAGAAAGGTAAATAATAAAACATATTTGTTATTTAGACATATGTGTGGCTTACACCCAGTAAATAAGATCGATTGACCGATCTGTATCGAAAAAACAAGTCAGAACAAATTTTGGAACCAGCGGGACTTGAACCTGCATCTACTGCTTGCAGCGGGCAGCGACTCTACCACAAGGCCATGACTGGTCCATGGCACAGTCATGATTAACTAGAAACAAATACCCCAAGCACCTATCTAGCATCTCATCAATAACGAATAGCAGCATTCTATAACTAATTTGCCCTCAGTCAATCAAATGCATTGATCTTAGTAACTTATAAATAACGATTACCTTAATTTGTTATTGATACATTTAACATGTTTTGTGAATCAAAAGCCCTGGTATTGTTCAGCTCCAATAGCTGCTCTTATTACGCAACAATGCATTGTTTGGCTAATAAATAAAGCTTAGGAATAGTAATTTGAATAAATGATAATCAATTAACTTGCTCTGACATTATGAGATAGATAGTTTTTTTTAGTTTAATGCAACCAAAAACGTTAGCTTGATTAGATTTGATTTTCCGTTTCAATATGAACGTATTAATAGTACATATGAATTTTAGAATTAACATAATACAAATTAATCAGTTTGGAACAATCAAATAAAGAAATTGTTACAAAAGTTACAGGTTAGTGACGTATCAAAATGACATAACAACTTATATTGAAAACGTGGGGGCATACGATAAAAAGTGGTGCTTGTGTGGTGCATGCATCCGAGACTTAGTTATGTAATAAGAAAAATATCGTTTTGTTCCAAAATTATTTACCTCCCCCCCCCCCCTTCATACATAATATTTATCGTCCTCCCTTCCCCCTCATTACCTTCTCCCCACCCCCTTCTCCCCCCCCCCCCCTCTCTCTCTCTCTCTCTCTCTCTCTCTCTCTCTTCCATCTCTCTATTTCTCTGCGCTCTATCTTTCTTTCTCTTTCTCTCTCTTTCTCTTCTTTCTTCGATTCTTTTCTCTACTTATATTCACTGATATGTCATGTAAACTATGTCTTCCTTCAAACAACTAAAGGGTGTTTTTTATTTGTTTTATTTCCTGAACAACACTCGGCCAATAAGTGAGTTTCCTTGACGACTTTCGATATAGCTCGAGAAATATTTGATAAAATTTGTTCATTCAAAGAACAGAGTCTTTGGAATTTCCTGATACACATTGTATAGCTTATTACTGAACAATTGAAACTAAGGTGTTTATGGCACTCGGTACAAAAACAGAGTGCATTTTGCACTTCATAATGTAATGCATGTATTTTTAGAAAGGTTTCCATATTTTGGTTTATGTACAGGTGCGTTATTTGTAATATTGGTTCGCGAATCGTTTATTAATCCCGACATTTCAGCTGTTTATGAATTTGAATTCATATAATAGTCCCTGATTATACCCATGGCAAAGCAAATAGAATAGCTGCAGAAAATAAAATGAATACTACAACGTTTTCAGACCAGTTTTGAATTGTTTAATTGTATCGCCTTGTCTATTACTATTTGGATTTTCATTCCATAATTAATAAATATGAACTTAACAGACTAATATTAGCCAAATGAGTATTCATTCGCAAGTATAATATCTTTCTAAATTGAATTGAATTCACATTCTCCTGCATCATACAAATCAAATTACATTTCAGCAATAAAACATATACAAAATTGTACTTTGAACGTGAATACAACATGGTACTATTAAATGATGACGATAAAACAAAATGTAACTGAAAACACAATATCAAGAATTATTCATTAAGAAATATTAAGAAGAAGAAGAAGGGCCAATACAAAAAAGCGATTGCCTGATAGCGTGATAGCACGGGTAGGGAGATGGAGAGGCGATGGATGTTTTATAGAAATCTGGAAATAATATGGAATATTAATTCAACACTTGGAAAAGGTCAAACAATGTATATACTCTGATATAAAAGCTTTTTTCGTAGTGAAGATGAATTTAAGATGAATTTAAGGTTTTATATGATTTTATTGAATATGGGAGTGCATCATAAATCTGGACCATGATGTCTCATTAATTTATGCATGGTCAATAATTTGAGATTTACCAAATGAAAGTTAAATGAATTCCGAGAGTAGGGTAAGAATGGATAGTGTTGTTTCATACCCTAAAAAACGATCTTAAAGGTCGTCTGTACCAGTTTGGTTAGGAGGGATTAGACCACCCAGAGTAGTCACAGACAGGTGGCTATCTCACCAACTCAGCTCTCAATTAACATAAGAAAAAGAGGATCATGGGGGAGCAATGGTCACCGATAAAGCATTGTTTTCTATAAGGAGGGAGCAAGTAGCTACAAGTAGTACAGTGGGGCTTTAAATGAATCAGGAAGCAGATTATTCGTGTATTTAAACATTAAGATCAAACTCTACTGATCGTTTATATAACAAATTGTCAATGTTTAAAATTCATTACATAATCGGTTTGTATGGGTTTAATAATGGGAGACAGCACATATGCGAAGCGCTTTCTTTTGCAAGAAATAAATAAAAAGGGGCTAATTTTTGTGAGTGCCCAACTTGCATTCCTAAATGACATTCGTGTATGATGGGATGCATCGTCACTTTGCAGAGACAGGTGCTTTGCGAGATTGGGGTGTGAGTAATTAACTGTTGGACTATTATTAATCCACCATTTTGTGATATTAACGGTACAGGCGTTCATGACTGATCCGTTATTTCCTCTCTGTCATCACACCCCAGGCAAGACTATTGTCCTTTTTAAAAATGATTTCAAGAGGTAGATTCATACAACAATGAAGGCTTGCGACTTGGTTTTAGTTTTCTTTTTTATACAACAATTACAAATTGCAGACCCTAGCGACTGACTACATATGTATGTCAAGTTTGGAAAATAAAAGCGGAAATAACGGTGACTTTACCAATCCTATTCGGGACGGCGTTATTGTTTTCTCTATCTTCCCGAACTTGCTACAAACGAAGTATTTATAACACTCATTTTTTGTTCTTCTCCATTTTCAGGAAAGAATCGATATAGACTCTTTGATGGGCCTACTCACGTTTAATCACAAATGGAATAAAGCACGGCAAAACGCGTATTCTCTTCATTCCACGTATCACACATCACTTACATGTACATAATTAGATCACCAATGCCAATAAGATTCGTAAACTTAGCATGCTTTTCGTCGGAGGCTTGAATCCTCATTGGATTTATAGGACATGATATGGGTTTCCGATGAACTTTAAAATGAACTTTAATTTTCATTCCCCCTTCTTTCTTTGTTTTCAAACACAGGATGCGACCGGGAATTAGAAAATAGTTAAATCTGGGGAAAATGTGAGCCTTCTTATCCAGGTTAATACCGTTAATCATAGTAGACATGCACATACCAGCAACATAAAGGCTAATCTATGGAGCTCTACTTTCGACGTGTTCTTACTTTTTGAAAGGAGTGTTTTCCGAAAAGTACAGGGAGATGGGAACTTGCTGAAGTAGGAAGTACTACCTTGCAAGTGGGAACACTACAGACACGTGGAATCGCTTTACACCTGTCAATCTTGGCTATAACATTGGTACCAGGAATGCGTGCTTGAACCCTGATCGTTAGAGCTCCCCCGATGTTTATCCCCGATTGGTTGAGTAAGTAGGAGTTCTACGTTGTAACTGGATGCACGATTCGACACAACGCTAGCGGTGGCCTGGTATGTTGTGATACGGATGTAGATTTCTCTCATCGTACGAGTGCGAGCGCTCATTGTTTTAGCATTCTATCGTCTGCCTGAAAACAATGAATTTGTACACCGTGCACCAGACGGAAAGCCCGCTTCCTACTATTACTCAGTTGGCGTGTATGGTGAATAGCTGACTGAACGAAAGTTCGCACCGAGTTGATTTTTTTGTCTACATCTCTCGCCGCCGATTAGAGGAATTCTGGATTTAGCCGAGGAAATATGGTACTGGGACTGTGGACTTGGTGTATTTTGACTGTGTTCAATTTTCACAGACGCTTTGCGAGTGTTCTGTTTGTAGGTTTGTCTGTCATCCTCCTGTTGCAGCTGGACCAACGTCACCACCATGCCTACGCTCTGTCATGGGGAGAGTTGTGGGCAGGGAGCGGGAGAGGAGTCGGTGGGAGGGAAGCACCGTTACATCGCCACGTACGAGAGGTAAGATGCGTTTTAATATATATTGTTTTATATTTTATCATTATCAAAAATTCCATGGTGTAGGTTCTAAATCTGGTCATATTTAGAGGGGGTAAGCAGCACCTTGACAGACTAGAGCCGTCGTTAAAGGCCCGATCAATTGACAATTTCTTTTGTAATTTTAGAGTTCGCCTTGTTTTATACTGTGGCCGGTGCAGCTGCGTTTTAACAAGCCTTCACTTCTGCATCAGTTATTTTTTCCCAAAAAACTGCTAGCTCAGTAGCTAAATTGCACCAGAATTCCGGATTTGAAAAGTCCCTGATCATTAAAAAGAACCTCCTATAAATATGTCATTACAAAATTTGAATGGCACTGTATGAGTATGAGCGTGGTGCAAATGAATTTCAATCTCATTAGGGACAATTTACAAGTCCCTAATCTCATCAATCTCTGGTATATTTAGGAATGAAATGATGATGTTTAAGATCATGGTGTGTTTTTTTTTAATAAACCAATAGCTTCCCTTACCCCTTGATTTTCCAGAAGAACAGTCGGGTAGATAGGTGAATAATCTTATTTTTACGATTCACCATGGATGAGATGTCATATGGTGATACGTTTTGAAAAAAGTGTGAAATGTTTGTAGCCATGGTCTTTGCTTTGAAACAATGGAAGTCGAAAACAATTTGCTCAGTCTGTTGGGTCTAACAATATCTTTCAAACCAGGCCTAATATTGGGATTTTTGCAGCTGTGCTAACTTGAGACTGAATGTATGAAGACTTTCTTAAGGTCGTGAAGTCAATATACTATCACCTGATCACCGCGAAAGGAAAAGCGACCCCACGTGAGTAGAAAAATCACAAACTTTTGGTGAAACATGAGCTTTACCGGCTTCTCAGCAATTTAAGGTCATGAAATCGGCAAAAATAGGACGTTTATTTCATCAGCGTGCTATAAAAATTTGGTTGTAAAAGCAGGCGTTCATGTCGAAAATATATGTTTCAAAACGTGACTTGAAAATCGGGTTTATTCCCCAGTTAGTTATTCAATTCCACGGTGTGAAGATAGGAGATACAAAATTTTGTTATTTGTCGACTTTCGTTGATATTGATAACATATGTGCTTTATTAAAAATGTGACTGTCGCCCTTCCTGCCTAGATGGAGCTGCCCCGTCCGATCCGGAAGAGTATGAAACATTGAGAGCAGAGAATTTAAAACAGAAATGTAGGATATTCGTCATCTTGTTCAAATTTACATTTTTGTCGATGCGTTTCACTTAAATGTGTGGTTTATTTTATTTCAGCATTTGGATACTTTTTTTTTAGTTCTTGAATTATGCCATAAACAGCATTCATGCCTAGTGCCGCCGCCTGGGTTCGAACCCACGACCTTTGCATCTTCAGTCAAGTGTTTAAAGGTACTACATGTATATCCCATTTTCAGCCAACATCAGATTATGTAGAACTTTGCAGGAATTATGAATATGTCACGTATATGTCCTATCTGTGAAATTTGCGACCATTCGGTACAAGGGTCTGAAAATCAGACTATTACTAAAATGATTGCAATCACTAAATTCGATTCGACAATGAATGCTCGTTACTTTCCCACTAAAAGACATTTTCAAGACCTTTCGTTTTGAGGGGAGTTCTAAATTAGTATCATCTTTCAAATGCCGTTTGAATTTAACCTTTTCATTTTGTTTGGCCTGCAAATGGGACATAGTACCTTTAAACAACGGTACTACGACATGTATCATGGTATACTCCAATATTACTTTTAACCAGTGTTTGATTGCATCGATACAGGAGTTATAACAATGTATAATAGCTTATACAATAGCCAAAAAACTAGTAGGATTAAATCTGGAGTGCATTCCGGAACACGATTTTAGATAACATGTCCTGGAAATAATTTGATTTCTTTGTGAGAGCTTGACTAGTATCAGTCTGGAACAATGTAGGCCAGTTCGATTTTATTTTTTTTAATAGGAAAAGTCATTACATAACTGTCCATTACAGAAGATAACATATAATAATCTGGGTTTACATACATGTATTATAGCGCTTTAAAACACTGGCAACTTCTCTATAAGCGCGATACAGACAGAGTATTACCCCTGCCATTTGATTCAGGCTTTCCCGCACACAATATATGCACATTCTCCACTCCTTGGGAAGCATTTCAGCCAGACGCCATTATACCGACGCTCACAATGCTGATCAAACAGCAGCTACTTTCTCATCCTACCGGATATCTGTTTAACAGCTGGGTGGAGAGTGGTTATAATGTAGATTAATATCTTACCAAAGGACATTATTGCCGGGCTGGGCTTCGAACCCTCAACCCCTGCATTGAGAGTCATACGAATGAACCACTACTCATGTAGCATGACACCTCCATAATATATAACTAGCTCCTACATTTTAAAGGCAGGTATTGGTAAAAAAAAGGAAACAATGTTCGTTTTCCAATTATACCAGTAACCGACAACGATGTATTTAAAGGGGTAGTCTTTCTTGATCGTAAGTTGGTTTTAAAGACCGTTAATACTACTGGGCCAGAAGGGATTAGACCACACTGCGAGGTCACTGACAGGTGGCTATCTCATTAACTCAGCTCTCAACTAACATAAGAAAAAGAGGATCATGGGGGACCAACAGGCACCGATTTGGGGAGTTTTCAATATAGAGAGAGCAAGTGGTTTAGAAGTAATGTGCTCTCTCTCAATGTTCTTAAAACAAATTATATTCATTTTAGAGGTAGAAAATCTAATGACAACCTTGCTCTTAATATTAAACTAGATGATATTTCTTTAGAGAGAAAGACATGTACAAAATTCCTTGGTGTCTATATCAATGAAAAACTTGACTGGAGCGACCATGTAAAACACATTGTTACACCAATCTCCAGAAATATTGGCGTACTGTATAGAATAAAATGTTTTGTTTCTGATAGAATATTACTTATGCTATATAATAGTCTAATTTTACCACACATTTCTTATTGTAATATTTTGTGGGCAACATCCAAGTGTGTGACTAATAATATTCTTCTGTTACAAAAGAAAGCTGTACGCATATGTACCCGAGCTGGTTATCGTGACCATGCTACCCCACTATTTGTTAAATTGAAATGCTTAAAGATTGATGATATTAACTTCCTCCAAATTGCCATATTTATGTTCCGTTTTAATATCAAATTATTACCTACGTCATTATCTTCAATGTTCCAACCTAATAACATGGTTCATTCGTATTCAACAAGGCAGTCATCGAATTTACATGTGGTCAATCCTCACACTACATTAGCCCAGAAATCAATCAGACACAGAGGTCCAGATGTATGGAATTCTTTACCTAATGATATTCGAAATATAAAATCAACAAACTCTTTTGAAAGAGCACTGAAATGTATTATCATTTCACAGATGTAAGATATTACTTACATTATAATCTATTTATCAGTTCTAATTAAATCTAACATAATTTTGTTACTAGGCCTAACGAATTTTTTTTTTCTTTCTTTTTTTTAAACTTTGTAAATAGTGTAAATAGTTCACTACAAAACTTTAGGAATTTTATTTGTCATATATTATATATTTGAAAGGTGTTGTAACGATTCAAGCTCTATTTGCTTATGTTTCATCACCTTTGTGTGTTCATTCTTCAAACTGTATGTAAGTTGCAACTTGTCTTTGATAAAACAATGTTATATTCTTTTTCACGTGAAGTTAATTCAAATGTATTGTAAAATTGAAAATGATTTGTCATCTTATATTAATTTTCATGTGATGTTAACTTCAATGAATTGTGAAATTGTGAACATGCATAAATAAATAAATAAATAAATAAGTAGCTACAAGTAGGACAGTGGGGCTTTAATAGAAGCAGAAAGATTAGAAAAACAGGTCAGTAAAAGTTGACCAAAATTTGATTATAGATTAGAAAGTTATGATTTTTTTTTAAGTTGCGATCAATCAAACGCAAAGTGGTAACTTGTGACGTATCTTTCGAGGTTCCCTCCCATTTGGTCTATTTTAGCATTATTTTTAAATAATTATATAAACATGTAAGTATATAAAATGTTAAGCATTGTATCGTTTTGATATAGCATTTGGAACTTCGGATGATGGATGTTGTTATCATTTTTTCTTGTGCAATGATCACAAATATTGCAAAGAATTCTGGGAATTAATCATTATCATGATATTCCATATTTTATACGATCCTTCCTTTCCAAACAATGACCAATAAACGCCTCCCGAATTTATTTATTTGCAAACAGTCAGCCCAACCTAACAACGTTTTCCGTAAATAAATTCATTAAACTGACGCCCTCATCTAATCGGCCATGTTATTGTCTTAGTTTGTGGCTTAGTTCATGTTTTCTTACGCTCTAGATTACAGGCTTTGGTTTTAATTATCCATTGTTTAAATTAGGTATTCACGTCATTTATCTATTATTTTGGCCCTGAATGGCCGCAAAATGTTACTCGCTAAATTATATTTTGTGGTCGATTAACCGAATTCTTTCATGTGTGTACACAAAAAGATAAAAGGACCTTTAATAATATGTTCTCCTCAATTCATTTTAAGTAGCACACCAATGGAGGATACACTTACTAAAAAAAACAGACACTAATTATATTTTTGAAGGCGAAAAACGGGTGAGTTATCTGTTGCCAAATTGCCGATATGAGATTCGCATATATATATATATATTTAATGATCTCATATTTCAAACATGTATAACTCTATTATTATTGGTCCGATTTATTTCAAACTATCGTCATTCTGATTCTGTTATTTTTCTGCTTTCATACAAATGAACTTATCACAAAGGTTGGCTTTCCTTTTAAATGCCTTTCTCTCGATCAACTATTTTTTTATTGGCGTCACCCAGGGGTTTCTCTTAAAGCTCGTTGGTGTCACTAGTCTAATACAGGTCTGCCGTACTGATCTGCCTTTTGACTATGGTATACTTCTCTATATAATATACTAGAAATGACAATAATA